TATGTACACAAAGCACCGCTAATTAGTTCGTAACGCTCACATCGACACTACTGTCATTTACACAATGTACATGTGTGGGTAATTTCATATTACTGTGTATAAAAATATTCGTCCACCACGTTCACATTGGTATTTTCATTCTTGTGTCGGTATACGTATTTTTATAATTTAATGCATGGGTAAGGTTAAAACTATTTACAATCATTGATATGACCCGACATTTTCACTGTAATTATCGTAGTGCTCGTGGTCGATTGGTTAATGAGTACGCTTTTATCGTCTTTCAAGGATCAATGATGATGTGGGTTCTATTCCAGCTAAAAGTTTTTTTTTATTTTACCTTGTTGTTTTTCTTATTTATTTTTTTTTTGTTTTTTGTCATATAATATAAATATCAGGCTATAAAAGAAGCAAATCAGTCGGTAAATAAAACAATACTATTTTTTATTAAAATTAATTTATTAATTATACAAATATGTGGTTTTATATTCAATATTTATATCTAATAATTAATTATATACCACATGTTAACTTTAAAGTTCTTCCAATCATTCTAAATTATTCTAAATAATAAATAACTAGAACTAAAATATAAATAAAGGATATTATAGGTATAAATAAATCTAAAGTATTTACTATTAAAATTAACATAAGATTTAGAAAAATAGGATAGGAAAAAAAGAAAAGATTTAATTGTTTCTAATTTCACATTTCAAATATTTGATTAATTAATACTAAAACAACATGTGAATGCTGGAATCGATCCGGTGGCACTTTACTTGACCACTGGAGGCGATAACCATTGCGCCAAGCGCGCCGTAGATGAGAACATCGAAATATTGTATATCATTCAGTAACATAAAAATACAATGAGAATGCACTATATTTATATAAGTATTGTATTGCTCGATCGTTCATTATTTTTGATTTCGATTTATTCAAAGTTTGTTATGAGTATTTTTATCTTTACCCTCGTTTTTATTTAAACTTATTTACTAAAATATTACGTATACCGACACAAAAATGATATGTAATACCAAGATGTGTGTGATAGAACGAATGTTTCTATACATATCTATTAATATGAAATTACCCACACATGTTCACTGTGTAAATGATAGTAATGTCGATGTGTAGCGCCTCGAACTAATTAGCGGTGCTTTGTGTACATATTTGTCAGCTGACCACGTGCGATTTGTTTTTAAAAATTAAACTAATAACATTCGTTTTTATCTTAGGCGGTGATACGGCACAAATAACAAATACTTATTGTTATTTGTTATAACTTTTTTGTAATAAAATTGAAAGATAAATGATACAGAATAAAAAGCCATTAAGGTAAAGAAAAGAAAGGTAAAATACTTATGTATTAATACATTAGGTACACGCAGAAATGGAGACAAAAAATAGAAAACAGATATCACAAAATTGCAATAATTATTATCAACTCAAATACAATGAAAATAAATGAAGTCAGTAAAAAGAAAATATATTGACCAGCAGACATTGTACATAAGAAAATGTCTCCGAGCATGTCCATACCGAACGAGTCTCCACTTCAGGCACACATACTAATTTCAAGCACGAAGGTATGCTTCAATTAAGCACTTGCCACTTAGTAGCATGTGCGTCGGAATGTTACTCAAAATTAGCACGCTCATTTCGAGCACGCTTGCGAACCGACAGACGTTTGATTTTTGAACATTTTTGAGCATGCTCAATAGAACGAATTTAAGCATGCTATTTAACCTACCTTTAGTCGTAAAACAATGCAGTTCATGTCAATCTTCAACTTCCTTTCAACAAAAATTAGCTCCTTTTCCTGGTATCGTGACATTAACATTAATTTTGGTCTGACTCCGGTCATCACGTTAGATTCTCAATTTTCCCAAACTGTTAATTTCTAGAACTAATTATGAACTCCATGACATCTCTATGGAGTCCATTAAGCGTGTCCAAAATAATAGATAACTGAGTTATTTGTGATAACTCAGTGAACCATAACTTACCCCTCGACCTCACCAAACTGGTAAAAATATGTAAATATTTGTTACCGTCACTTACTTTATTATTTAAAATGTCATGTTGCTACGATTTTTTTACACATACGCATATATTCCGGCCAAGACATGTTGAGGGAAGTGTAAGGGCATAATACCAATAAAATGCGCCCTGCAGTTCTGATTGGCCACGGACCTTATTTAATTAAATTTAGATTATACCTAATGATTAAATTTCTAACCCTACACGTAGCTGCATCAATAAACCCTATTTTTATTTATCTACAGGGAATTACAACAGGCGTAGCTCGTAGCTCGTGACGCGTAGTTCGTAGCATGTAGTTCGTACCACGTAGCGCCGTTTCATGCTATTTATCTCATAGGCGATTATATTTTCTAGTTTTTTATATTATAATAAATTCAGAATGTATTGTATTGATTAGATTTTCTCATATTATGTGTATTAAATATTACATCCTTACATTGTCTTGTCTTATTTCGAAATTTTGGTAAATTGAATTAAAAAAAAGAAAAATAAAGTATTATATATTTTTTAATGTAACTACAATCATCAATTTCAACTTGCATTTCTTAAATTACAAAACTTACTTTTAAAGCTATGATTAATTGATTCGACCCCCTACTATGCTTTACATACAATTTTGTAATAAAAAAAACGAATGACGTGTCAGATCCATAACTAGGATTTAAAATTGTTTACTGCTTTGGTATAAGGATACGTCAGTACAAAAGAGTAATTCACACATTTTACAAAAATCTGTCACGGTCTATTAAGTCCTCGCTCTGAACTTGAGCCAGTGTCCTCCACGGAGTCTCAGATTGAAAGTTTCATTACACAACTTCGCCGGTATGCAGGTCTTCTCACAAGGGGATACTTCCATTTCTCGAAGGATCTGGTATGTCATCACCTTAACCTCGCAGAGCGCAAATCTTGACCCTGAGAAAAATATTTTCTTTTGAGGTAAAAGTTTCAAATTGAGCTTATAGAGTAATTAGCGTACCTATAAAGTGTTTTGGAATATTTTTATTTCCTTAAGTAGCTCCAAACAAGTCCCTTAAAGGTTAGGAATATTTTACTTTTTTACATCAGTTCGACACATCTTTCTGCTGTCCCAACAGTTAAGTTTCGAACTAAATACTTTAATAGTTTACTAACACTCACCAATGCAATTCCTAGGTCCAACACCGAAAGGCATGTACGCGAGTGGATTGATGGTGTGCCTGTTTTCTTCTGAGAACCGCTCAGGGTCGAACTTCAAAGGATTAGAAAAGTAATCAGGATCGCGATGAATGGTGAAAACTGGTATCCACATCCCTGTTCCTTTACGGATCTGTAGTTGTTGTCGTTATAAGAAAATAATATTTAGAGAGTGGATAAATTATTTTTTTTTTGACCAGGAGCTAGCAATGATGATTTTATTTTTAAGCAATCGTCAAAAATGTGTTAAGGACATTAAAAAATGTTGACCAGCATCTTAATTCCATGGACTTTACTTACAATGTAATCTTTCTCCGCTTTCGGGTTCGGTTTACCCATATTATAGTCTTTAGTGCAAATTCTGTCTAGAGCACCGGCTGTTGGCCAAAGTCGGAGGACCTCTGAAAATTATTAATTTTTTTGACATTTTATGACAACGACAGTAATAAATAAAAAATAAATTTATTTTTCACGCTTTGTCAAACCTCACCTGATACCACCATATCCATGTAGACCATATTTTGTATGGAGTTGAAGTCAAACTTGCCGCCGTTCTTAGCGTCAGTCTCCTTAATCTCCTGCGCCAGCCGCTCCTGTACGTCAGGGTTCACGGCAAGCTCATAGAGTAGGAACGACATTGATGATGAGACGGCCTCAAATCCGGCAATGAAGAACAGCACTGCTTGAGCCACGAGGTCTTCATCAGTCCATTCTGAAAACGTATCAATTAAGTTATTTTCCGTTAGCCTTATTAAATTAACGGTATTGAATATTTGAAATTTTGAGGTACATGATTTTCTGTAAAATTAACATACGTGTTTTAGATTTCATTTTGGTCTACAGCATGATCATTTTCATTTCGTTTCAATCATTTAATAAACTGATTTACCTAAATACATACAAACCTCTATTTACTTTTATCTTCCCTACAGCTGATTCAGTAACAGTAGCAAAACCAACAGCTTGATCCTTAGATTTTATATCTTCATGCGTCAATTGGCCTGAAACCAAGATTTGATGAGCCAAATTGAAGAACTTAATTTCAATTTGAGCCAAATGTCGGCTTACTTACGAAACTAAAACTAATTAAACTTAACTCACAGGTTATGTTTTTATTTATCTACTTGGCTATTTGATGATGTTGCATGTTTACCTTTCTTAGCTTCCATCAACAAGTGAATCATGTCTGGTCTGATAATATTCTTCAACTCTCGGTTTTCCATTGTATCCAACACCAGTCTCTTGAATGCGTTCTTTGATGACTCCGACAAGAAATCCAATTTTAAGAACTGTGACACAAAGCAAATTTAGACTTTTGACCGATCAATTAAATTCCACAAAATATAGATATTATATCTTATTCCATTTTTCAAATACATAAAATAAATCAAACGTGGACATAAATCCAATTGTAAACAGTATTTACTAAAAATGATTAGAAAAGCTCTACTAGTTTCCAGCCACAGAGCTTTTTCTCATGAGCAGCGTGGGCGGTCGCGGCAATGTTGCCGCGCCCTCTGTGGCGCGAAACTAGTAGAGCTTATCTCAATAATATCACGTGTGTAGCCCACGATTTATAGTTAAACTATACAATCACAATAATGCATTATTAAATAAGTATGTACCTTTGCTACTTCTGGTAAGTTAGCAAATAGAAAAGCCTTGATCACTTGGCGGAAGTTGAATGTGGAAGTCTCTTTCCCCAGTTCGTAGAAGTTGTTGTTTTTGTCGTTGTGTGAGTCTACCTTCAGGCCAAAGGCACAGGAGGCAATCACATCGTTAGCGTAACGAGCAGTTAGGTCTTTGCAGTCTACATCGACGGAGCCATCTGTAACGAATTTCATCAAATCACATAATATAATTTTTATTATATCAAACTTGTTTTTATACATATTTAGACTTTACGTCTCAAGAACATATATTTAATTCTGTTTATTCTAAACCAGCTAAATTATCTGCTGTATTGCTTCAGCAAAGCATTCAATCTTACTCTTAGATTCCTTTATAGTTCTATGAAGCGACCGCATCATCTGGTCTCCGACCTCCACCATGAAAGGCACCATCAAGCGCATCTTGGAGCTCGTGAATGCTGGACTCAGCGTGGAGCGCATGTCCTTCCATTCTTGTCCTGTAATTGTTAGATAATTGACATCTTCAACAATCAAAAAAGTTTCCTTCAGCTCTAGGTTCAGTAAGGCAAAAAGAAAATAGACGTTTGCGTTGCAGTGAAATTGAACTATTCTGTCTTTTGAAATGAATTGATTGTTTCAATGCTTACCTCTTAAAGAGAATAAATTCCTGGAGAAGTACGATTCGCCGTTGCCTAACAAGGGGCGGTGGTCGAGGAAATGCTCGAAGTCTTTCACAGTTATTTTCTTAACCAGCTCAAGGTCACGAACTACAATTAACTCCTTGGTGAATTCATATCTTCCAACAAACCTGATAAATAATATATTATTTAAATTTGCTACTAACCTCGCAATACCATATTCCTAACATCATAAACAACAATTATTGTTTTTATAACTATTATGAGACATACTAAATTAACTAAAAATCACGGGCTACTCACGTGAATGTACTGAGTAGTAGTGTAGTAAGTAAGTAGGTAAGTGTAAGTAGGCTGCGCGACATCGCTGCGACCGCGCATGTTGCTCATGAGGAAGAACCCCTCTGTGGTTCGAAACTAGTAGAGCTTTTCTCAGTACATTCACGTGAGTAATCCGCGATTTTTAGGTATCAATTATTGTTCTAAGACTTTCAAAACTCATCAGACAAAAAGCCGCGTTAAACAGTTACATAATTAAATCGTAAAAAATATTGAAATATAAAAGTAGGATATGATAAAGTGTATGAAAATATTACCTTTCCTCAGGGAAGTCGTTGTAGACCTTTGTCAGTCCATCACTCACATGCTCTGCGCGTAATACGACCTTGGCCATGTTGCCGAGGATCGGGACTGGCTTTATGTGCTTGATGCCATGGCGGCTAAAGGAGGAGTACAGTCTTCGGAAGTATAGCGTTATCACGGCGACCAAGACCGCCGACCAAATAAGGAGGATAATCATAATCTGCAAACATATTTAAAAAATGTAACACATTTATAAATAAATATGTTTGTGATGAACCTTGAAAACCTTAAAAACATCAAGGCATTTATTACTTATACCGGTTTACTGAGCCAAGTAGCTACTGTAGTAAAGTTAGTAGTTGATGACAATATGCCGCAAACATGAATGAGTTAACTAATAATCGCGGGTTACTCACTCGAACCACAGAGGGGTTCTTCCTCATGTGCAGCGTGTGCGCGGTCGCGGCGATTTCGCGTATGCCTACTGTAACCTACAGTAGACTGCGCGACATCGCCGCGACATTCGACATTCGAAACTAGTAGAGCTTTTTTCAGTATATTCACGTGAGTTACCCGCGGTTTTTAGTTAACTATGTCTCACGATAGTTATTATTAAAACATGAATGAGCTTTTATAAATAACAAGTAACTTTATTATCTCACAAGAAGTATAAAAATAATACTAAAATATATATAGCTGTAGAAGTTATCTACTATTACTGCAACGTTTTAGTTACAGTTGTGTTACTGACCAGTGTCTGGTAGCAAAACAAATTGCTAACGAATATTAATTGTAAACATAAAAACGATATCACAGAAAAAAACAATGTTAATTGATGTGGGCATTACATTAATTACACACACATATATTTATATATACACATACATAACCTCACGCCCACGGGGGTAAGCAGACACTACGAAGCGAATTAATAATGTTATCATTCTTACATACTTCTTTAGCTTCCTCAACAGTCATCATTCTTTTCATATATACTCGTCAGTTAAGGGTACTTTAACAATAATTAAGATTGTTTATAATGAGATAGGTATGCCTTGAAATAAGTTGGGTGACATAACTTACTGTTTCGTCAAATCACTGATGGAACCGAGTTGATCTCACACGTGTAGCTTGTAAGACCACGAAACTATGTCTGAGAATGGAAGTTTTAAATATTAAACAAATAACATTAGTTTTATCTTAAATGATGTTGTGACGTAAAATGTACTTAATTGCTAATTTATTAGCATTGTTATTTCGATAAGAATTGTTTACATTTTTTTAAATAATACTTCTCTACAATATTCATAGAACAAGATAACTGGGTAGTTGTGATAAGTCAGTGAACTGTATCTTACTACTTAACCGCATGAAAATGGTTAAAATTAACTTTCATTTCTATTCTATTAGGTACTTAAGCTGATATTAAAAGACAAAAAATCAAAACCTTGACATTTTCACTCCACTCTTAAATTGGATTTAGAATTTGTACAAACCTTCCGTTTTTGATACTAGCTCTTAAAAAATGATATGTAAGAAATCATTTTAATAATAAGTAATACAAATATAAAACACTCCACGTATTATGTCTGACAAGAAATTTATAAAAAAAATAATGGAAATATCACAAAAGATATTTCCATTTCCAAAATGCTGCCAAGACGAGATCATTAGCTCGCACAGTCAGAAGTGTCAAAATCTGATGTATAGCCAATTTTTAAACTCTAAATACCCAGCCCTAGAAAATGCCTTAATTTTATCGAAGTACTACAGTAGTAGCCCGAAGCCCGTAGCTCGTAGCTCGTAGCTCGTAGCCTGTAGTTCGTAGCCCGTCTCAGCGTTATCCCGCTATAAATATCGTAACTGTTTATATGTTCAAGTTATTGACATTTATATGAATACATGGTTTATAAATCATTGCTTAACTTACAATTAAATGGGACCATGCTATGCAATGTATGCAGCATGCAATGTACAATCTCTGCATAAAGAGAGCATGCCGTATTCTCCAGGCTTCGTAAATATTTATTTTTTGTTTTAAGATAATTATTTTTGTTGAGATCAAGTTAATAAAAAATAAAACTCGTAACACTTTAATGTAGTCATCATGATTTGCAAGTTCGCCTATACCTCTATGATTTTCAAAACTAACACGTAATTATAACCTGTCGAAAACACACGAATCTTTCATAAAAAAGTTTTTTTTTTCTTCTTTGGCCACCGAGTCTCCACAATGGATAAAAAAGTTTTACATCTTTCAAAGTACCTGCTTTTTCTACTGCCTGTCATCTGACAACACAAACACCAAATTAGTCATCTGACTAATTTGGTGTTTTAATGTAGGCATAGAACCTTAAATTCTGATATGCCTAGCCTCATAATTAAAACACGATAAAAAGTTTGATATATAGTTTATTTTATAATCATAATTATAAACATCAATATCAGTAAGGGAAGCCTTAAACCTATGTTACTTAACTATAAGTTAATAATAAAGCTAAGATTAATATTTAATACAAACTTTTGCGACAAAACCTTTTAGGTCTAATTTTTTTTATTTATTTATTCAGCTTTGGCATCAATACAATCATATCAGCACACTCAGTATAAAATTAACATAATATTTTCTATAATTTGAACTTTTTCAATAAGTAACTGTGCTTATTGTTTTTTTAAATAAACTGTTAGTACTTTTGTGGTGCTTGAAAGGGCCTATATTTAGAACCTAATTATTATTATATTAAATTTGTAGACCACCTTGTTCACTATAAATGCGAAACAGATTCATATAAAGTATAATTCAAATCTTTACAGTTTAGTTGTGGCCACCATCCTCGTCTTCTAAGTTCTCGTTCTGAACCTGAGCCAGTGCCCTCCATGCAGTCTTGGTTGGAAACTCTTTTTGCATAGCCTTGCTGGTATGCAAGTCTTTTCACAAGGAGAGAGTTCCATTTCTTTGAGGATCTGGTATGTCATCACTTTTATCTCGCAGAGTGCAAATCTTGATCCTGAGGAATTAGAAATAAGGTCTAATTTTATTTCCGACATTTGGGCTACTCGTATATTTTTTGTGCACAGCGTCTTGTAGTTTGGTTTGATAAGTGTAAACTGGTTTGGAACCATCCTTGGTCTTTTGAACTCTGATATTATGAGTAATAATTTATTTTATTTATTTTTATACAATAACTAACTTATACGCACCAATGCAATTCCTAGGTCCAGCACCGAAGGGCATGTAAGCGAGTGGATTAATGGTGTGTCTGTTTTCTTCTGAGAACCGCTCAGGGTCGAACTTGTCCGGATTAGGGTAGTATTGAGGATCATGATGGATAGGGTAAATCGGTACCCAAACTCCAGTACCTTTGCGGACCTGCAAATCAAAATTATATCAGTTCAAAAAATTCATTATAATAATTTTGCATGAAATTTTATGAATGTATCAACCATTACTCACAATATAATCTTTCTCGGCTTTCGGGTTGGGTTTACCCACATTGTAGTCTTTAGTGCAAAGTCTGTCAAGAGCAAGTGCAGGTGGCCAAAATCGTAGGACTTCTACAAAAGAAAATATATGTCTTTTATAGAATACGAAGAAGTAATCGTGTTGCCAATAGGATAAAAAACGATAACATGCTGATATAACTGATTATTTTACATTCCATTGTGTAAATCACCAGTACTGCCATACCCAAGTGTCTTTAATTTATCGCTTAAGTAATCTAACCTGACACCACCATATCCATGTAGACCATGTTCTGTATGGAGTTGAAGTCGAATTTGCCGCCGTTCTTAGCGTCAGTCTCCTTGATCTCCTGCGCCAGCCGCTCCTGTACGTCAGGATTCATAGCAAGTTCGTGGAGTAGGAATGACATCCCTGACGAGACAGTTTCAAATCCAGCAACGAAGAATAGCACTGCTTGAGCCACAAGATCACCGTCACTCCATTCTGAAAATTTTATGAATCATAATAATTTTTGTAAGAATAACGATTTAAGTGAATATCAACATTTTCAAGCTGGATTTGCATACCTCTGTTGACTGCTTTCTTTCCTACAGCGGATTCCGTAACAGTAGCAAATCCAGCAGCCACATCATTGGATTTAATATCTTCGTGAGTCAGTTTGCCTGAAATCATAATTTCATTTTTAAAAATTTACTTATTATCAGACGTTTTCATTTGCTTTGTATTTGAGATGTTCATGTATGTACCTTTCTTGGCTTCCATTAACAAGTGAATCATGTCAGGTCTGATAATATTCTTCAATTCTCGGTTTTCCATTGTATCCAAGACCAGAGATTTGAATGCCTTTTTTGAGTCTTCCGAGAGAATATCCAACTTAAAGAACTGTAACGTGAAGCAGATAATAAATCAATTTATGAATATCATGAAAATGACACAATCATTTTTATAACGCAAAGTATAATTATCATGTCTAAAACTAAAAAAAAAGTGAAAATGAGACTAACTGGTTAAGGCATTAAAATAAAAGATTAAGCAAATTACTCTTAAAACGCAAAGATTATTTTGATTCACGAACTAAAAATGATTTTGCAAATAGTTTTTGCTATAAAATTAATATTGATTTACCTCACCAACAGCTGGTGCTACAACGAGTACGAAGGAGTTGAGTACTTTTCGGAAATTTAATGTGGATGTCTCCTTTCCCAGTGCGTAGAAACTGTTGTTTTTATCATTGTGTGAGTCCACCTTGAGACCAAAGGCGCAGGAGGCAATCACATCGTTAGCGTAGCGGGTCGTCAGGTCTTTGCATTCTACGTCTATGGAGCCACCTGTAAGGATTTTAAGGATATAAAAATTGCTAGAGATATGGTCTCATATAAGATCGTGCACCTGGGTCATTGTGATTTTAGACCATAAAATCAACACAACTCATTCAATTACAAGTTCCTATGTACCTCAGGTAGAAATGGCATCACTTTATCCAAAATTTTCTCCTTGTCTTTGTATAGTTGTATAAAACAGTTTATATTAACGTTTTTACTACTTTCTGCCCAAATTGAAACAGTCAAGTTTTGAAAAAACTACTACACTAGATTTAATGGCGACTAACATCTCATTTATTTTAAATATCGAGCTATGTCCAGTGCTGGATATTCATAAGTGCTAAGAATGACTTGAAATCTGTAATATAGGAACTTACTCTTGGATTCCTTTATAATTTTATTAAGCGACCGCATCATCTGGTCTCCGACCTCCACCATGAAAGGCACCATCAGACGCATTTTTGAACTCGTAAACGCTGGACTCAGCGTGGAGCGCATGTCCTTCCATTCCTGACCTGTATGACACAATATTTTTTATTATTTATTTAATTTCTTCGTTGGCCGAGTGGTCGCAAATGCGACTGCCGGGCAAGGGGTCTCGGGTTCGATTCCCGGGTCGGGCAAAGTATTACTGTTTTTTTTTAATTCTCAGTTGTAGTACGGAGTCTTTTTTTTTTGAGGGGTAGCACGGAGTCTGGAATTGTGCCCGGTATATGGCAATTGGCTCCCCCACTATTACATGGGACTCATAAACATAAATAGTGAAAAGTGGGTGGTACATTGTACAGTGGCATAATGTACACCTTTGCTTACCCCTTCGGGGATAAAAGGCGTGATGTTATGTTATGTTAATGACAAAATGGACACCAGACACAATATTATATCATTTCATATAGAACACATATTAGTTTCATACAGTGATAATTTGAAAATTTAGTTCAACGTAAGGCGAGTTAATTGTTTTAACTTAATACCTCTTAGAGACAGCAAGTTCCTGGAGAAGTAGGACTCGCTGTTGCCAAACACGAAGCGGTGGTCGATGAAGTGCTCGAAATCTTTCACAGTTATCTTCTTTATTAGCTCTAGGTCGCGAACTAATATTATCTCCTTATTGAATTCATATCTCCCAACGAACCTGATGAATAAAGTTAAAATTTCAACAATATGGATATCATGATTTTCTTTATGACTTTCTTCAATGGATATTAAAGGGTTCGAGCATCTCACCTTTCCTCAGGAAATTCGTTGTAGAGATTTGTAAGCGCATCATTTATATGTTCTGTGCGAAAGATTATCTTGTGCATATTGCCGAAGATAGGGACTGGCGGTTTGTGCTTGACGCCATAGTCATTGAAGGTGGAGTACAGCTTGCGGAAGTATAGCGTTACCGCGGCAACCAGGACCGCCAACCAGATCAACAGGATCATCATGATCTATAAACAACAGTTTCATCTTGTTTATAAAGTTTAGCGACACACCTACCTACCTACTCTAGTTCTGACGTGGTACAAAATACACCGGCTTTGTATAACACAATAAGGGAAAGAGTAGCCATACCATAGCACCTTGCTTTTAAGCTACTTCATAAGAACATACACTCCATAAAAGGAACCCAAAATATTTTGAAACATTGAGTAATTTAAAAAAGCATTGAGAAAAAACTAATACAAATACTACCAAGAGAACATAAAAGAAACAACTGGACCCGATCAGATAGTAAAGCTATTGACGTTATTAAAAATGTATCGCGAGCAATATTACAAAGGACGTGGACGCACTATACGCGATTGTTACTTACTATTTTTTTAAAACACACACGCGGCTAGTATTTCGTTCTCGCACATGTGACCAGAATGGCGAATGAAGTATCACTGAGTAAGCGGTGTGATGTCTGAATGTATTTATTGAATGACCTCGAGCAGTTTATTGTTGAAGATTAATAAATAACAATACATAATAGTCTTATCTTTGATGATGACACGTCATCATTAATATATAATCAAGATTGCAAACGATAAGTTACATGAATTAGATACATTATTATTTATTATTTTATTTGGGATAGTTACAATTTACAGCAAAATATAATTATCTAGATCTTACATTATTTATTTATTGACACTTTAATGCACACAAAATAAGGTACATAAGGCGGACTTAATGCCATATGGCATTTTGTACCAGTAGTTAAAATTAGAATATTGAGTTAAATATGGTTCAAAATCATAGTTACATGAGATTTTTTTAAGTTGTCAATATTAGTCAGACTCAATTATAATACTCAGATATTATAATTGAGTCTGAGTGTTAATTAGGTCTTTTGATGACTTAACCGACTTATTTTTAAATTGTTATTAACATTATTATTTTAATTTGACATTAACTATCTAAATTAATTGTATAATAAATATTTGTACACCAGCCATGGTTAAACATGTTGATACAATCAATAAGTACTGCCCCATCTATAGTAAACATCAATTTTTGCACGTATTATTACGACCTAACTACACATGTTTTGGCAAATAAAATAATCTGTATCTTAAAGTTAATACATAGACACATTAATTCAGACATAAATAAAATAAAATTATGAGATAACATTACGAAACATACAACAACAATAATATTGCGAATCATCATGAATTGTAATTTCGTTGCTAATGATATAAAAACTATCACGATGTCATTTTTACTAAAATGACTCTTATTTATATAGCAACAAAGCCTTAACTTTACAAGTATCTATATACTGTTTTAAATATCTGTCGGATTAATACCGGCGTTGTCTACCATGATTGAGTACCTTCGTCACTTATTTGCAACTGTTTTCACAATAAAGGAGATTCTCAGTTTAACCTGTATGTATATATGTTTGTTTGATTGTCTCGCGATAGAGTGTTCCATTATTCAGAAGTGTTTATTACTCTTTTTCTATGAGATAAGTCAGTAAATTAGTAGACAAATCGGCGTCGCCCATAGACACCTGGAACACGAGAAGCGTTGCAAGTGCGTTACTGATCTTTCGGGATTAGGAATTTGAGAATTGTTGGGGATCCAGGGATTAGGAAAGAGGGGGAAGGGTAATTGGACCTCCGGTAACCTCACTCACACGGTGAAACACAACACAACGTTGTTTCACGTCGGTCTTCTGTGAGGCCGTGGTATCACTCCGGTCGAGCCGGCCCATTCGTACCGAAGCATGGCTCTACCAAATTTGAAATCTATACTAACATTCGATTATTCAATCGACGAACAATAACATTCGAACAACAAATGATATCACAATTTATGTCAAACATAATTTAACATCTAGATGCTGATACTATAACTTTCGTGAGACATACTAAATTAATTATTATATTCTTTTCAGCTTGCTGCTAATTAATTGGGCCCGCAGCGCAGACTCGAGTAGTCAGACGCAGCGCGACAGTCGCCGCGTCGCGTGTCGCGACATCCTTATGTTCATATGAGCTTCTAGCATGCCTTTAGCTTGGAACTAGACGAGTCCCTCGTGAAATAATTCTGTTAGTAAGCCGAAAAACATAATAATTAATCATATAAATGCTATTTATCCAGAAGATGGCTGTGTTAAGTAAGCTACAACTGATGAAAGAAATAATATAGTTGTTGCTATGATTTATTAAAATTTAAAAGAAACAGTCTTACACAATATACTTAGTTCTAACAGTAAGCGTAACAATGACATTAATGTAAATATAAAGTCATTAATTGATTTCAATACAAACACCTAAATCAACGTAGAGACGTTATGCTCGAAATTATCACAATCACATTATTATTATAAGATTTTTGGTTTCAACCAATTATTATTAATCTTATGATTTTGAAAGAATAAGAACATATCAAACGTAAACCCAAGCTATAATTTATTTGAATGTAAAAAACCCAATAACTAAAATGCATTGTAACCCACACCGGATATTAATTGTTTTGTCATCATCAAAAATCTTGTCTTCTAAGTCCTCGGCCTGAACTTGACCCAGTGTCCTCCTTGTAGCTTGAGATTGAAAGATTCGTTGGACAGCTTCGCCGGTATGCAGGTCTTCTCACAAGGGGAAACTTCCATTTCTCTGAGAATCTGATATGTCATCACCTTAATCTCACACAGCGCAAATCTTGACCCTGAGGAATAAGAAATAATTTATTATTGTCACACAAAAAAAGTTTGAGCTTAGAGCATTAATCACCACGCTAGCTCTATATGAGTTGGCGATTTCAAACGTATAATTAGATAGCCAGGTTTCCTCACAATGATTTCCTTCACCGCTTGTTAGTGATGTCTGAATAATCTTAGAAAGTACATGTAACTCGGAAAATGTCACATTGATACTTGCTGTTAGTAGATTTCGAATCAGCACCCTCGTGCATGTAAAACGCGCGTCACAAATCACCAGGCCACCCGACATTCATACATGAGAATATATTCCAATTTTTTTTTAATATATTTATTAGATGGTTCTGACGTTTGACCACTATATGTGGCCTACAATGGAGCACGTCGACCCATAAGCAACATATTCACTCGGGCTAGAAGACACCCCGGCTATACCCTTCAGGAAATACAGACTCTGGCAAAGAATTCCACTCTTTAGCAGTACGCACAAGAAAGCTTGATGCGAAGCGCTTCGTGCATGTGGATGGGACATCTACCATGAATCGGTGACGCTTCACCGATTGTCTTGTGGTACGATGATGGAAAGGACTAAGGGAATTAAATTGTGCAATTCCCCCGCACACTCACCGAATTGTATCCGGTAGAAAACTGAAAGGCTTGCAACCTTACGCCTGTGTTCGAGGCTTTGAAGCCGGGTCTCGAATTTCAGAATTGTCATTTCATATTAAAACTCTGAACATAGCTCGGTCCACTATTGTATGATTATGTAAAAAGGATATTCTGTATGATAAGAAACGTCTCACATCCCTCATGCTCAGCCCATGTATTGATTTTCTTTCATTACTTCCCAAATTGGTGGTTTTAGGATAATCTATTTACACTCACCAATGCAATTCCTAGGCCCAATACCAAAAGGTATATACGTAAGTGGATTAATTGTGTGCCTGTTTGCTGCCGAGAAGCGCTCAGGGTCGAACTTTTCTGGATTGGGGTAGTATTTTGGGTCATGGTGGATACTATAAACTGGTATCAAGACTCCAGTACCTTTGCGGACCTGTATAACAAAAGTATTAATTACATTTTTTCTTCATAATAATCGCGTATGAAATCGTACAGAACATGACTTACAATATAATCTTTCTCCGCTTTCGGGTTCGGCTTGCCTAAATTATAATCTTTATGGCAAAGTCTGTCGAGGAAAGTTGCAGGTGGCCAAATTCGAAGGATTTCTACAAAACAGAATACATACATTAGTTATAAGGATGATGGATGTAAAGGAATGTAGCACTGTTTTAATAGAATTTTGGTTGGAGATCGCTATTTAAAAGGTTTGGGTGAGAAAAAGGGATGTTTACAAGCAAATTGCCGTGTGGTGGCATGGCACGGCAATTTCGGCTTTGACACGATAAAAATTGATAGTACTGCAATAACTTTAGGTGTTAGTCATCATAATTGAAGATTTTAATTCTTCTACAACATCAAATTTACCTGACACCACCATATCCATGTAGACCATGTTCTGTATGGAGTTGAAGTCGAACTTGCCACCGTTCTTAGCATCAGTATCCTTGATCTCTTGTACCAGCCGCTCTTGTACGTCTGGGTTCAAAGCAAGTTCGTACATTAGGAACGACATTGCTGATGAAACCGTCTCAAATCCGGCTACGAAGAATACAACTGCTTGAGCAACGAGATCATCGTCACTCCAATCTGAAAATATAATTTAAAACGTGCCATTAATAATTTTAGTAATAAAATGTATATAAACAAAAAGTACCAATCATTTAAAACCAAATTATCACTCATACCTCTGTTGACTGCTTTCTTTCCTACAGCTGATTCCGTGACAGTAGCAAATCCAACAGCCCTATCATCCGGATTTATATCGTCATGCGTCAATTTGCCTAAAATCAAAATCTCATTATTGAAATTTTATTTAACTTACCTATCTTATTTACCTATACTATTCATTTCTTGGGTATTTGATATTTTTATGTATGTACCTTTTTTGGCTTCCATTAACAAGTGAATCATGTCGGGTCTGATAATATTCTTCAACTCTCTGTTCCGCATTGCATCCAAGACTATAGATCTAAATACATTTCTTGATGCCTCGGAGAGGATATCCAACTTCAAGTACTATAACAGTAAGCAATATTTAAAAAAAAGTATTTCGTGAAATGTTCTGGCTACAATAATAAATTATAAAGTAATGTTTATTACCTCAGCTAAGATTGATGCGTTACTAAGTATAAAAATGGTGAGTGTCTGGCGGAAATTTATTGAGGACATCTCTTTTCCCAGTTCGTAGAAGCTGTTATTTTTGTCATTGTGGGAATCCACCTTCAGACCAAAAGCACAGGAGGCAATCACATCGTTAGCATAGCGACCGGTCAGGTCTTTGCAATCTAAGTCTACGGAGCCATCTGTAAAGAATTTTAGAATATCACTGTAAATATGAGGTGATGAACATGTGTTGTAACATGATGAGAATGCGAACCTGTATTGGGGTGTACTACAGATTTACTTTCCTATTGATTTAACTGATTTAGAAAAAAGCTAACTTACCCTTAGATTGTTTTATAAGTCTATGAAGTGAATGCATCATTTGATCTCCGACCTCTATCATAAAGGGTACCATCATACGCATCTTGGAGCTCGTGAAAGCCGGGCTTAACGTGGAGCGCATATCCTTCCATTCTTGGCCTGTAATTATACGTTTTTGTTTTTATTACTTATATAAACGTTTTCATAAGTTAAATAAAAAACACGATTTTCAAAATGAAATCATTGATAACCAACTTATTAGATCTTTGAAAATCATTCAATATCAAGCTCAGTCTGAAACGGACTGTTATTAAATACCTCTTAGAGACACCAAGTTCCTGGAGGTGTAGGACTCGCTGTTGCCAAACACGAAGCGGTGGTCGATGAAATGCTCAAAATCTTTCACAGTTATCTTCTTAATCAGCTCGAGGTCACGAAGAACAATTAGTTCTTTCGTGAATTCATATCTTCCCATGAATCTGATGAATAAAACAAAATATCCACAATTTCTTTCCACAACATGTACAATGGAATATCGGACCGACATCGTTAACATTTTACAATTTTATTTGATTAATATTATAGTGTTCAACCGTCTCACCTTTCCTCGGGGAATTCGTTATAAAGTCTTGAAAGCTGGTCACTCACATGTTCTTTGCGTAAGATTATGTTAACCATACTACCGAAGAGTGGTATTGGCTTTATGTACTTAATGCCATGGCGGCTGAAGGAAGAGTACAGCTTGCGGAAATACAACGTTGTCGCTACGACCAGGATCGTCAACAAGACCAAGAGGAACATCACGATCTGTAATAATGGTTACTTCTTCTTTATAATGTCTTACGTTAAAGTAAATCGGTTTTTATGAAATTGACAGAGATTTTTGTTCCTCTATCTTGGTTCTAAAGAATGAGCTCTATTATAATTGCCGCTTGGACTCGAGCATGGAAAGAATTAATAATAATAATTAGCCCTCAGGGCTCCTTGAGGCGAGGTGACGGGCATTAGCGACCCCGCGGGCTACCACCATCCCGAGCGCTCCAGGGAGAAGTCACCGTTCCTTATAATCTGGCTTGCCTTAATTGCCGTGTTTTAAAAACCTGTGCGCCTGAGTTGTCTCCAATCCTGACACAGCTGTTTCGCCTTTCCTTGGAGATAGATCTAGTGCCAGTTGCATGGAAGCACGTTAAAGTGCAGCCTGTGCCCAAAAAAGGTAGTCGTGCCGACCCCAACAATTACCGCCCTATCTTGGTCACGTCTATGGAACTTGTACTTAACAATAGACTCCTGGCATACCTTGAAGGTTACGACCTCCTCAGCGATCAGCGATATGGGTTTCGACGTAACCGATCTACTGGGGACCTTCTTGCGTATGCCACTCACATTTAGAGCGAGGCCATTAAGAGGGCACGGGGAAGCATTGGCAGTCTCCCTCGATATTTCGAAGGCCTTTAACAGGGTATGGTATGACAGTCTTATCGGCAAGCTTCCTGCATATGGATTTCCTGATGATCTGTGCAAATGGATAACAAACTTCCTGAGGGATCGGTCAACACGAGTAGTCATCGATGGCTGCTCGTCTGACCAATTCGGTATTAACGCCAGAGGTCCTCAGGGGTCAGTACTTTCAGCGACGTTCTTTTTACTGCACAGAAATGACCTCCTTAAGTCGGGTATCTTTGGGTATGCAGGTGACAGCACAGTTGTGAAAAGCAACACAGATCCGGTCTCTAAAAGAATCCTTGGTCGCACGTTTGAACTCGTCCTTGATGGCGGTCTCCGACTGGAGTGATGCCAACGTGGTCAAATACAGCGCTAGCAAAACCCAGGTGTGTCTATTCTCTACCAAACGGAGTCAATTTCCGCTAACTCCTGCTTTCCAGAATGTATCCGTTCCGATAACTGATCATCTTGAGCTTTGCTTAGCACACATTCTACTTTGGCTCCTATATAGAGTAGAAAGCGCAACTGGCTGGTAGGAAATTGAGTATCCTATGGAGGGTGAGACGGTACTTCACGCCGAAACAATTGCTGAGCCTGTATCAAGCACAGGTTCGGTCCTATGTGGAGTACTGTTCTTATATTTGGGACAGCTCGGTTAAATATCAGCTGGACGCGTATCAGAGCACATTGAGAGGCTCGTCAACGATGATGCGCTTGTAGAGGCCCGGCTTTAAAGCCTCAAACACAGGCGTAAGATTCAACGTTTCCTTTCGGTTTTCTACCGGATACATTTCGGAGATTGTGCGGGGGAATTGCACAACTTGATTTCCCCTAGTCCTTTCTATCATCATACCACAAGACAATCATCTTAGCCCATTCACCGATTCATGATAGATTTCTCACCCACACGCACGAAGCTCTTCGCACCAAGCTTCCTTGTGCGTACAGCTAAGGAATGGAATTGTTTGCCAGAGTCTGTATTTCCTGAACGGGGGGGCTAAATTTAAGTGTCTTCAAGGCCCAAGTGAATAGGTTGCTTATGGGTTGACGTGCTCAATCTTAGACCACATCATCGCTTACCACCAGGCGAGATAGTGGTCAAACGTCAGCCCATCAAATGTATATACATATATAAAAAAAAAACCTGAACAGACAATAGAACCTATGACATTACAGTGAGTACAGTGTGATGATGATGAGTACATAAATACCTCAAATTTTAACAATCACACCAAATTGATCAGAAGCACACGAAAAATAAAATAATCAGTAAATACAATCACAGATTCAATATGTTGATAATTTCACAACTTACATCACGCAACCTAATTAGATCCATAAACACATTTGCCATTCCCGTACTTACTTATTCGTTCGGGATTGGACCAAAACAGATCTCACCAATCTACAGCGGTTCATTGATACATGCGTAACCATATTGAAGATTATCGGACCGGTTCATGATATTTGGAATATCCAAGACCACGTCAGAGGCCTCAAACTTGAAAGAGAGAGAGAGAGAGATCATCAGCATACTGTGAGCAGTATACGATGATGTCTGTATACTCAACAGAGCCCTGGACACGCGACTATCCGTGCCGAATGGGCAGTTGAAGCCATCATCGTTGACTATTATACAAGATAGGGATTAAAGTATAATATAGAAAAAATAGAATGCATTATGTTCTCAAAGAAGGAAAAATAGAGACCAACGGTAAAAATAAAATAACAGACGTTACACTACTAAAAGCACCTTGGTGTCATTTTTGTCAAACACGTGAAAATGAACCAGCACACTGAAAAGGATCGTAACCAATTAAAAACAAGTCAGAAGAGCCCTCGGTCAAATTATAGGATATAATGCGAAGACAAAAATAGAAACGAAACTGGCAATCATTCAGGCTTCCCTTTTACCACATATGAACTACAGAATTGTACAACTATTCTCAAGATACAGCGCATCCCACCTCACCAACATCGAACGTCAATACAGAATGGCACTGAAAAATGCCGCACGACTTCTAAGATGAACACCCACGGAAGAGATCTGGGAGATGGCTGACTAGTTTGTACTAGTTATTCCCTAACTAGTAAATCAGAAAAGATGGCAGTCTGGGGACATAAATCTCTCCATGGAAGATGTCGCCTCGACCTGCAGCGACCTTATGTCGACATGAAAGCGTCGAATGCGTGGCTGCGACGAGGTGAACTCTTCCCTAAAATGGAGGGATTTATTATTGCCATTTAAGACCAGGTAGATTATTGCTATAGCAAATTATCAGAAATTCTTAATACGCAGACCTAACTATAACGACTCCGGCAGGCGCTGGCATGGTGCGTCACAGACAATACAATAGGTCAATACAGGTACACAAACAATTAGATACAGACAGATCTAATTATTTGAGAACCTTTATTAATGATTAATGGCAAAATTAAATGCGCATCGCGTGGCACATATACATCAATAGTCTCTGCACAGTACGAAGCCTTTACTTACTATTTTGTCAAAATATTAATGTATTATATTAAGCTCGGTTGATTACACACATATGAACTGTTTACGTTCTCAAATGTGTCACTTGAAGTACAATTGAGTTCTGACTGACTTCTAGGCGCCACGTAGCGAGTATTTATTGGTCGACCGCATGCCATTTGTTGTTAAATACATAATGTTATGAAATTTATTTTTTGCTTTCAACGATGATACGTCAAAAATATGGACAAGATAACAAATTATAAGTGTCATGGTCTGGATAGTGCATGACCATTATTTTTTATAATTAGGTTTGCTACTCAATATAGAAAGATATTTAAGTGAAGAAGATAAATTCATAATTTACATAATATATTTTAAGTACAATACATCAAAAAGCCAAATAATTAATCTTGAGTTTAATCCGGGGTTTACAGTAGTTAAACCACTATTTCAAATTGTAACTGTACGTGTGTGGGTACCATGTTTAGAGACAGTCGTCTATGGTTTATTTTTAAGTTTGACGCTGTATTATCGTTTTTTATGGCATAACCCGGTAACGGGCAGACGGATCACCTGATTGTAAGCAATCGGCGTTGCCCATGGACACCTGGAACACCAGAGGCGTTACAAGTGCGTTACCGGCCTTTTGGGGATTAGGAGTTTGAGGATCGTAGGGGATTCAGGAATTGGGGAGATTGGGGAAGGGGAGGATAATTGGGCCTCCGGTAACCTCACTCACACTACGAAACACAATGCAAGCGTTGCTTCACGTCGGTTTTCTGTGAGGCCGTGATATCACTCCGGTCGAGCCGGCCCATTCGTATCGAAACATGGCTATCCCACACATAAAACTCGTTACGTTGTTCACATCATTATAACGTATTTGTGAGGTATAATGTATATGTTATAATAAAAAAAAATGTGACAAGAGTAACGATGGAGTTTGTTGCTCGTTCTTCTCCATTCGAAACTACGCATTAGAACGAGCAGCTAGCACCATCACTAATAATTGAATTTGACGTTTCAAAAGCGACTAATCAAGGATTAATTGAAATAAATGTTCTAAGATCAATAAATATTATTAGAGTGTACTGAATCATAAAGAGTTGTATCTAAAACTCTGAGTTTGCTGCATAACTTGGGTTTGTCATTAGCCTAATTCTTTTGTGATTAGATACCTATTTAAGTGATCAGATCCACAGTATCTATCAATATGTATATATAATGTCTTAATCTTAAGTCCAGTTATGAATCTTAATAATATAATGTTGATCGTATCGGTTTATAATAGTATTGCGCACGTGGGTCTGCGCGCATTTCAGGTTTTGGAAAATTTTCATTTGATATGTAAATTTACATATGAAATGAATATGAACTGAAATTTTGCTGTTTCGATATTTGAGTACTATTTTAGTTAGTGGTGGAAGTGCTATGACACCAATATGCTCAATTTGTGTCTTCTTTTTTTTCTTCTTTAGCCTTTTTCTAGGGTGTAGGCCTCCTTCAGTTTCAGCCATCTCTTTCAGTCTTGAGCAATGTCTATATACTTCACATATTAGTAGGTACAATACACTTTTAAGATATCTTTGTGAAATGTATATCCTAGTAGTATTATTAATACCAAAATTTGTAAGTTTGTTTGTTTGATTGTTACTTCTTCACGTCAAAAGGACTGAAGGGACAATAATGAAATTTGCCAGTAGGTAGGTTCAATTACGGTCTAAAATAATACTTAAGGCGACGCCGCTGGCAGGAACTAGTATCTAAAATTATATATAAATATAAAAGAAAGTCGTGTTAGTGTTACACTATTTACCTCTATAACTTAAGAACAGCTAAATCGATTAAACTAAAAATTGGTGGGAAGCTACCTTCCCATCAATTTTCAGTGAACTTAGAACCAAAAGATGGAACTAAGAATATTTCAAATACGTGAAAAAACATAGACTGCCTCGTTGGCCGAGTGGTCGCAAGTACGACTGCCGGGCAAGGGGTCTCGGGTTCGATTCCCGGGTCGGGCAAAGTATTACTGGGATTTTAAAAATCTCAATAGTAGCACGGAGTCTGGAAATGTGCCCGGTATAAGGCAATAGGCTCACCCCCTATTACATGGGACTCGTAACATAAATAGTGAAATGTGGGTGTTACATTGTACAGTGGCATTAAGTGCCGTAATGTGCACCTCCGCCTACCCCTTCGGGGATAAAAAGGCGTAATGTTATGTTGTGAAAAAACATAATTGCTCATACGCAGTCGCGGAAATTAGACAGTATCCAATAATCGAAAATCTCTAAAAATTGTAACTCATCATGAATTGATAATTATATAAAAACTACTACACTTATCTCTCTCGTTCTCTTATCTTTTTAGCATTAAAGTCTAGACTTCTGAGCTTCAAAAGTATTACTTTATTATCAGTGGTGGTAGTTGGATTTTTTGTTTTTACGTCCGTGTTGGATTTTTGCAAATAAGTACGTTCGGTGGATAACGTTGAGGTAAGAAACAAAATGATAATGCTAAATAAAGGTTATATTAACTTTAATGTGAATAATTATTTTGAGGGTGATTTTTATTAGAATTATTTTAAATAAAAAACTCATTGATACGGTGCACTTTTAATCTGTATTTCAAAGACATATTTTAACACGATGATTTATAATACAATTTTATTTATATTACAGAATATAATCTGATGATTTAAGTGATGTCAGTTCGTCGCCAGTTACGCCACCAGATCGGTAGCCGCGCATTTAGTTGACTAGGTATCTACCAGTTATGTTTATTAATTATTTTTAACCGCTTAATTTTGAAGGTTACAACACTACGGCCGAAACCGCAGCGGCTCATAATCGTGTAGTTTTGTGAAACAAGAATCCAATAGGAGTGTATCTCCTAGTTATACAATTATGTTTAACCGCAAATATGGCTGCTTGGTCGGAGTAACGCCGCTTGTTAACCAAAAACAATTAATTACTAAATTAAAATGGAATGATCGGCTTCGGTGCTTTTTTGAGGGGGGAAGTCACCCAATGACTTCTCCCGTCCAGGAGGGAGTGTCAGGCTCTTACTGACTGAAAACCATCTTGTTCTCCTGCACTTGGAGCCGGTGCCCCGGCAACCCGTTAAGTCGTAAGCCAATTCATATTAAATTGTATTATTGTTCCTGTTGCAATATAAAAGCAAACTACGTAAGTGCTAATAATGGTTGTAAAATGTAAGTAATTAAATTTTCTAAATGTTGTAAGACTCAATTTGAGATTCCATAAATTATATCAAAGTTATGTCAAATCCATACATAAATTTTACTGTGTCAGGTATTTAAACGATATTTGTTCTAGGCGGGTCGTCAAAGTCAAAGTCAAAGCATTTATTTCAATTAAACCACAGTTTGGTACTTTTGAAACGTCAACAAATACAAAATAAATGTCTGTCAGTCAGTCCGTCAGTGAAATTAGGTGGAGCTAGGTGCTCATTCCAAAATGTAAAGCGAGCAAGAAACTCCATTCGTTACTCTTTTTTAGGTAGTTGTTCCTAGAAATGTGCCATAGCAGGCATTGCACAGTAAAGGCCCGGGTCTGATCTATTGAGAGAACCCGGTGTTCTTTATTAGTTGTGATGGGAAAGTTTTAGTGAAGTAAGAATCCTACACTCAAGGCACCATTTGAAGGATTCTTCAGAACAGGAAAGGAAAGGTTAGGATTATGTTAAAGTTAGCTGAACCGATTCAGTATACACTGACAAGGTGCAGTTGTAAGAAACAGTAAATATTTTGTATATACATTTATTTATTTATTTAAAATAATAAAATATTAAAAATAGTCTTACACCACATTTAATTCTAACGGTAAACGTAATAAAATTATTCTAAACAGTCTACCAATTTCAATGAAAAAGCCTTGTCAATTTTAAAATAACAGGGTTTTTTCTTAAATTTATCACAACCAAATCATAATACGACTATTTTTCTATAACTTTGGCATTAACACAAAGCATTTTGAAACAATCGAACGCAACAAACACGTTGCCAAACTACAATTTATTTTGATATAATATGAAACCCAATATCCAAAACGCATTATTAAAACCTACACCAAAGCCAAGGCTGAAGTTTTGCCATGGTCAGTATAAAGGCATAAGAGCGAAGGTTCTGTTAATTCCTCGGCGTGAACTTAATCCAGTCTCCTCCTTCCAGCTTCAAGTTAAACGAACCTATGCTCAACTTCGCTGGTATGCAGGTCTTCTTAGAAGGCGAGAGCACCATTTCTTTAAGGATCTGGTAGACCATAACTTTTATTTCGCAAAGCGCAAATCTTGAACCTGAAACATTTGAATTAAGGCTTAACTCGTCGAGTACCGTCATTATAGACACAATTATAGAACAATACGTTGCGGTCACCGGTGACCGCTTGGTGTTTGACAGTTTAGAGCATAACACATAACGCGTACATTGGTGGCTAAAACAAATCTAGATTCAATGGCAAAAGTTATTTGTCCTTTTGTCTCGACCGGAGTGATACAACGGCCTTACAGAAAACCGACGCGACGCTAGCGTTGTGTTTCGTCGTGTGAGTGAGGTTACCGGAGGCCTCCCCAATTCCTAAAAGGTCGGTAATGCACTTGTAACGTCATGGTGTTTCACGTGTCCATGGGCGGCGACGATTGCTTATCATCAGGTGATCCGGCTTTGTCTCTTTTTCTTTTCTTAACTTAGCGACCTTCGAATTCTATAAAGAAGCAACTAACTCTCTTAATATGAATAAGCTTGTTTTTCCTCTCATCATAAACTTACCAATGCAATTCCTAGGTCCCACTCCGAAAGGCATATAAGCAGACATATTGTTGGTGTGCCTGTTCTCTTCTGAGAAGCGCTCAGGATCGAACTTGTCTGGGTTCGGGAAGTACTCGGGATCACGGTGGAAGGCGTAAGTGGGAATCCAAATCCCAGTACCTTTGCGGAGCTGTAACACGAATGGAATTTTAAAACCTTTCCCAAAACCAAATTATCGAACCGATTGTAGCTCAGTAGTATCATCTAATAAGCATAATAATGAATTTCTTCACTGGAATAAATACTTTGGTTTTAGTCATTTGTGTTGCTGTAACTGTAAATACTATGTGCTCATTTATTTTTACTTACAATATAATCTTTGTCTGCTTGTGGGTTAGGTTTACCCAAATTGTAGTCCTTTGTACATATTCTGTCCAGAACAACACCAGGTGGCCACAGACGGATGACCTCTGTAGAATAAAATACAATAATTTATGCAAATTAACATATCCCAATAGGTTATACCCAATGCGATAATGTTGTGCACTCGATGTAAAAACTTATAATTAACATTGGTATAACACAGCCATATTGATTGCACTTATCCATCAAATAGAACTAACAACATCAGCCGTTGCTTTTATGGATTTAATGATTTCGTTTCTGAATTGTTTTCATAGTCTATTGTGTGTTTACTTTACTTTACTTAAAATACTATTTATAATACTCATTTTAAGTGCGCCAGGCTCACCTGACACCACCATATCCATGTAGACCATGTTCTGTATGGAGTTGAAGTCGAACTTGCCGCCGTTCTTGGCGTCAGTCTCCTTGATCTCCTGCGCCAGTCGCTCTTGCACATCAGGGTTTGTAGCCAACTCGTAGAGTAGGAACACCATCCCAGTTGAAATAGACTCAAATCCAGCAATGAAGAACACCACCGCTTGAGCAACGAGCTCATCGTCGGTCCACACTGGAAGAGGTATTTTTTTATGTTATTAATTAGACTACTTGCATCTAGACATGTATTCCTTTTTACTTATTGCATAATACCTGGTTCCTCGCACAGCTTATATACGTGAGGTGCGCGATCTGCGTTTGTTTGCTACTAACTATTGCACATACAATGGTGGATTCAACGTGATATGCATCACTCTCCTATATCCTTTTTTGAGTGAAGACATTTTTAAACTGTCAAACACCAAGCGGTCACCGGTGACCGCAACCTATTGTTCTATAATTGTGTCTGCAAAACCGGTACTCGACGAGTTAAGAGGCAAATTCGAACATTTCCAATGGATTGACAGTCCGTCTACGACGCAGTATGTGTACGGAATCGTAAGAATTGTAAAAATTGTTAAAAAAATGTAAGTGACCATTTTAATACTGCACGGTTGGTGCGGTGGCTGGGCAACCGGCTGCCGTGCAACGTGTCGCGGGTTCGATTCCCGTACGGAACAACACTTTGTTGTTTTGGGTCTGGGTGTCATGTATAGGTGAACTTGTATGTTTGTAAACGCACCCACGACACAGGAGACAATCCTAGTGTGTTGCCCACGTTTTTTAAAAAGTAATTAAAAAAATATTCGCGTAAATGGGGCATCGTGAATCTATGAAAGCTGTTGTTTCACATTAATTTGTTCTATTTGAAAAATGTACCTATGTTTGTGTTACTCTAGATCTAATATAAAAAATAACAAAACGAAGTGTGTAAAATATTTGCCAAGCATAAAAAGTAAGCTGAATGATGTACATTTTGTAATAGGTATGTTGTTACTGTTTGTTTTTCCTTAATAAATAAATATATTTGTACCTTTATCAATTACTTTCTTCCCTACAGCTGATTCTTCAACAGTAGCAAATCCAGCAGCCATATCATTTGTATTAACATCTTCATGAGTCAGTTTGCCTGAAATCGTTATTTCGTTATTAAAATTACATTTCCACACACTTATTAGGTGAGTATTTTATAGGTAGTTGTTTACCTTTTCTAGCTTCCATTAACAAATGAATCATGTCGGGTCTGACAATATTATTCAATTCTCGGTTCTCCATCGTACTGAGTACTATATTTCTTAATGCTTGCTTACATGACTCCGAGATGATATCTAACTTCAATAACTGTAACGTAAAGTCGGAATTACATTTCGTTACTTATTTTATACGCGACATCTCTTACACATTTTTTTTGCATTATTCCATCATTTGTTTCTTCAAGCGACCAGTATATTTGAACAAGTTCATTGCTAAACCTACAATCAATTGAATCAATTGTATTATTGCTTATCTGTAACTACTACATATTTACAGTGACTATCTGTGCTCCTTAAATATACAATGCTAAGACGCAAGTCACGTTATTCTCATTCCAAAGAAACGTACTTACTTTAGACACCTGGTAATATAGGAAGGGACACCATTTAAATCATATAAAACATTTATTTACCTTAGCTATGACTGGTGCGTTAGAAATGATCATCATCTTAAACAATTTAAGTTTATCGAAATTTGAGGCTTCTTTTCCTATATGGTAGAAACTGTTGTCTCGGTCCTTCTGGGAATCCACCTTCAAACCAAAGGCACAGGTCGCAATCACATCGTTAGCGTAACGAGTCGTCAGGTCTTTGCAATCCAATTCTATGGATCCATCTGTATAAACACCAAGTAAGGCATGTCATCTGATACACTCATTCTTATTCATCATCTTAAAAGAAGTATCTTACCTTCAGATTCATTTATTTTTTGACGAATCATCCTCATCATCTGGTCTCCGACCTCCACCATAAAAGGCACCATTAAACGTATCTTGGAGCTCGTGAACGCTGGACTCAACGTAGAACGCATTTCTTTCCATTCTTGACCTGATTTTTTCAATAGTTTCAAATAATAAAATTCTGTATCTCGCAGTATTTCGTTTTAACCAAATATGTTATTGATTTTACAATTATGGGACTAAACATGTACAGTCATCTAAGTTATTTGGCATACAGGTAAGATAGTAGACTGATTCAGTACAGAGATAGTACTTATTGCTATAGGCATTATTTTAAGCATTGATGAACTCAGCAGCTATTCAATAGTTAATTAGTTACCTTTTAAAGAAAACAGATTTTTGGAGAAGAAAGAATCTTCGGGGGCCAATACGGACTGGTGGTCGAGGAAGTGTTCAAAGTCCTTGATAGCGATCTTCTTGACAAGCTCGAGATCACGGATTATAATCAACTCCTTTATGAAATCGTATTTCCCGATGAACCTGAACAATGGTAGGTATGTTTATATTATACAAGGAATAAATAATATACTAAAGCTCAACAATAATATAGAAAATAGAAATTGTAGAAAAATAAAATGCACAAGCGAATTTCAATATAACCAAAAATTCTACTAATTCTAATGAATGGTATTGTGGCTAAAACATCTGACCTCTCATCGGGAAAGCTCCTGTACAGTTCGAGGATATGGTCAAAGACATGTTCTCTACCCAACATCAATTTGGCATTATTGCCGATGATAAGGGCCGGCTTCCAGTGCTTTACACCATGACGACTGAAGCTGGAGTATAGGCGTCGAAGGTACAGCATTACAGCAGTCACGAGGACTGCTAACCAAGCCAGAAGCATCATCATGATCTGAAGCAATACGCACACATTTTTTATAAGATGGGTATTGATTCATATTTATAGTTATATTGATTTTTAGAGCAGAAAAATTGTAATAAAAGTATCAAACTCACTGTTTCGTTTCGTGAATACAATATCTGAAAAAGTAAATAAAGAAGTAGTATGAAATATATCGAAAGTGTTATCTGTAAGGCGGTAGAACTGTCTCTGAGCGTCAGGTGTAACGGTTATCGAATATAAACTATATATGTAGATACCCATCACCCACGCGCGTTTGTTATTGCAACTTATCTTATATGATGACATAAAAAGAAATATTACAAATAAAGACAATAACTATTAATCCATATTTAGATATTACCTACACATGACGCATTGACAGTAATGAATACCTTCATTTATCACCTGTCCCCATTCCTAATCTTCCCGTAGGTGTCCTAGTAGTAGGACTCAACTAAGCGACTAGAACCTAACGGGTAACCGGGGCTCCGACTCGACGTGCAGGAGAAGGAACGGGGTGGTTTTTAGTCAGAGTCTGACACTCCCTCCAGCCTCACCCAGGCGGGAGCAGTCATTCGATGATTTTCCCCTTTAAAAAAAAGCGACTAAATATTCAACAGTGACCGGGCAGCAACCTATCTGCCAAGCGTGTAGGTTATCTATAGGAAACTCTTCTTTTGTAGAGAAGATTTACAGTCCCTCAGCGGACTGTGCTTTGCAAGACAAATAATTTAAATTTGCTCACAATCGGGAGACGGTGGAAAGATTTGATTGGCCTAAAGAGCAGGTACTTAACGCACTTGCAAAACCTCTGGTGTTTCGGGTGTCCATTGGCGACACCGTTTGCTTACCATCAGGTGATCCATCTGTTTGTATACCGGCTTATCCTATTATAAAACCCACGATACAGGAGAAAATTCTAGAGTGGAGCATTTCTGTAAATACATTTTTGCCCTTTTTTTGGTAGTCAAGTAAAACAAAGAAAATATTATTCAAGTATTGAACATGATTTGCAAATTCATTGATTACGATATCGAAATTACTCACTATAATTATCTTTTGAGAAAAATATTCGTATCAATACTATCTATTTATAAAACGTAAATTGTTCAACTACATCGTACTTATTCACTTTATCTTGATAACTACAATTATGACGTACATACGTATTGTCGGTAGGGAGTTAAGGACTCATATCTAAGCTCACGTTTAAGCATTTTCTGATGCAATTTTTAACCGACTTCAAAAAAGAAGGGGTTGCAGTTTTCTAAACGTTGTTTATAAAAGAATTATCTATGCTTACGTCCCGTGTTCCTTAACTCGTCGAGTACCGTCATTATAGACACAATTAAAGAACAATAGGTTGCGGTCACCGGTGACCGCTTGGTGTTTGACAGTTTAAAGTGAAACAAGTGAAACAAGTGAAACAAGTGAAACAAGTGAAACAAGTGAAACAAGTGAAACAAGTGAAACAAGTGAAACAAGTGAAACAAGTGAAACAAGTGAAACAAGTGAAACAAGTGAAACAAGTGAAACAAGTGAAACAAGTGAAACAAGTGAAACAAGTGAAACAAGTGAAACAAGTGAAACAAGTGAAACAAGTGAAACAAGTGAAACAAGTGAAACAAGTGAAACAAGTGAAACAAGTGAAACAAGTGAAACAAGTGAAACAAGTGAAACAAGTGAAACAAGTGAAACAAGTGAAACAAGTGAAACAAGTGAAACAAGTGAAACAAGTGAAACAAGTGAAACAAGTGAAACAAGTGAAACAAGTGAAACAAGTGAAACAAGTGAAA